ATAAGAAAGTATATATGTAATCACTGTATATACACTAGATTGCTGCATCACTCCATACAAGCCGTGCTATCTTTTTCTTTTGATATGCCGACATTTATTCATCCGTACCAGTTCTTGAAAGACTGAATCTGATCTGAGGGTGCTCGTACAAGTTCATACTGCTAGTTATTTCGGAACATGAACACAGAACACTGTTTATATTTTTGTATGATTTATATGTAAGAACGTAAATTTTCTAATTATTTGAATACATGTCTCTCAAACTTATGGTATTTCTTGAACATAGTATAAAGGAAGGAAAACGAGGCCAACGTGGAAGGAGTATAAATTCTCCGGGTTGCTATATTACGATATAACAATGAAACAGCAGCTGAGTCAACGATTTGCATAAATCAATGAGAATAACTCATTTGGTTTATGGTTGCTAGTGAAATATGGCTCCAGCCCAGGTGTTTCGCATTTTCTCACTCACTCTTCTGCTATTCTGAAACAACGAAGGTTGGCATTAGAATGAAATGGTACTAGTTATTTACTACAATCATTAAGTTTTAAAGCACAGATACCAGTAATTTCCGGTGGTGAGATTCATCACTTCGACGTGTGTTGACATTGTGATATATGGAAATATGTAACTAATTAATACCACACCAAAGTTAATCCTGACCGTATTATTGATTTTTTCACCAGATGGTGTTTGGGCACTTTGTAGTCGTTCCTGTTGAGCACTATCGACTGGATATATGCTGTGACTTTATCAAATATACTGAATTTCTTAGCGTTGCGTTTTTAGAATTCAGTTACTTTCCCGTCTCAAGAAGTCATTATATGCGGGATCATTTTTTCGTGCCAATTATATAAAAAAAACTAACCTTCAGTTCCGCGCTCAGACGGCTTCACATAGCGTTTGTGAAGCCGTATATCATCTCTTTTGCTCCATCCATGTTCAATCCATAATGGTCAGTTGAGATGCTTTCGAGCGTCTTCTTGAGAACTATCGATTAAATGTATGCATCGACATGGTCAGATATAGTGATCGGCTTCACATAGCGTTTGTGGAAATTCGTTACAGCCCTCTCTCAAGTCATTACATTCGGAATTATTTTGCTCTCGCATTTCATATTTAACCAAGTTTATTAGCGAGTATGTTATACTTTCGCCTTTCCTCGGTCTCAATTGAAGTCAGCTTGTCCTGACTAGTTATGGCAACCTCTATCAGAATTACTTCACGTCGCTTCTTATCGTGAATCATGATATATGGTCGATCGCACCTATCTTTATAGCCTTTCTTAATCGTGTATCGGCTCTGATCTTTACGTTCTCATTCGCGACGACCTCTTGAACAGAATGGCTTCGCATGTGCGGGGATCCTTTTAAACTACTTGCAAAGTCTTAAATGGATGCATAGGATGACTCATTGTATCTTCTAGTATAGTCATTAAAAAACATTTTTTCACATTGCGTTGCTAGATAGCTGACCATCTTCATACGTTCTTCATAACGTTGACACATATTTCTCAGCTCCAGACATATTTCTGTCTCAAAGGTATCATCCTGCGGGGTAATGCTCCCGTATCGTAGCCACACTGATTAAATAGCTACAGACAGGATTTTCCGCATCTTGTACAACTTTACGTAATGGGTTCTCCTTCCTGTTTCGCTACATTAAAGCGCCTTTTAGGTTGCTAATACGTTTCCAACGGTCAGATTTTCTAAGAAGTTGCTTTTTATCTTCAGATGATCGCTAGGTACATGTTGCGAGCTTTATCCTGCCTCAGAATCGTCGTCGTGGTAGATATGGGCGAGATAACTGTAAGAACACTATGTAGCTGAAGAAGCATAAGCTCACTTCTCTGCTTAGCTTTATGAAATCTACGTCGTACCTCAGGTGGTATTCTCAAACTGGTTATGAATTCCTCACATATATAATGTGCAGCAGGTCGGAGGTAAATAAATCTTCGTTCCTGGTTTCTGTTTTCTATATTTTTGGACTGGATCGTGTTCTGTACTCCACCAGCGTGCGGTTCTGCTCGTTCCGGTACGCTTGTTAGTCTTTCTCATATCCTTCACGAATCTTTTTTCAGCAACCTCACTTGTTTTTTATTCGTTTTCATTTATGATTACAGGCTTGGATTTTTTTCCTTTTATCCTCCACTTCCTGCATTGTAATGCGATTCGACTAGTTTGTCGCTCAACCGCTCGGCAACTCGCAGAGCCGAGCAATATATATAGAGAGAGACAGATAGATAGAAAATATATGCAAAACCAGCAGATTTATTTCCATTTATCTTTTTGTAACAAAATATGCACAGAAGATAAATTTGGGAGATGACAACCAGTACATATGAACACATAACTGAGTTGGAGAAAAACAAAGGTTAAATGAAGACTGGGAACCATCGTATGTAATTATACTAATAGTCCGGTTGGGCTCACAAAAACGGAATGTATGTTCTATTGCCATTATGCATCTTGATGTTCTATAAGGCAAAAAATTGTTCAATAAAACGAAAAAGTTGGTATAAGAGGATAGCGGAGTAATTTTTGTTCACAGAAGAAAATCATCTTACTCCTTGCCCACCACTATCCTGTTCTTAAATGCCGTACAATGAACAAAAAAATTAGATCGTAAAATTAAGTGGGAATTTCAATTTTTTTTAATATTATGTCCTGCTCACAAAGAATGTTTTGGCGTGGAAAAAAATGCAGAAAAAACTTTCCACCATCATAAGCCATTTCTCTTGAGTAGTATTTTATGGGTAAAAGTAAGATGAGAGACAAAGAGGAGAGTAAACAAGGAACGATTAATGGTATTTTAATACTTTTATTTAAATGTGGTATTGGCATTTATAGAGGACATGAGTGCGAAAACGACTTTGTGATTTTACCCACCATTAATATTAGAGAAAGTAGTAAGATCAGTGTAGAGCTTATGATTTTGATACTCATCCTGATCTTCACAGAAATATGTCTATGATAAGAATCTGTAGTCAATTTCATGGAATAGGGTGCTAAATAGCTAAATAATAATATCACTGCTCTCATTACGGGTCATCAACAGCAATTTTTTCTCATGTTATTAGTCATCCCAGAAACTTCAGTGCACATCACAAAACAAATAGTTGACTAGACACCAATTTTGGAACGAAAATCAGTAGATTTTTAGCGAAGTTTTACATTATCAAATGTCAACAGAATGAAAGCATAGATCAGGTGGACAGTAGTGCTAGGCTACCTATATAATGTATATACAAAGTACTCTGCTGCTTAAAATATGGCTGCAACAAAACAAGATAATGGATACATTGCAGGCACGAAACATCCAACCTTTACATATTTTTTTAGATTACAATGTCTAAAATTCAGTTTCCAGTTAGACAAAGATCTGCAAAAACATACAATTTGCGATGAAAAGACCAGCGAGATGTCAGTTGTTCAGCATTTTGTCTTCATAAAGACACAATACTACTCAATATCAACAGAAAAATCAAGCAGATAGCTGCTAGTACGACCTACCTGGGACCTGATTACGAAAGTATATAGGTTATACAACTGTTAAAAGAATGCAACTCATTTCTGAACGTTAAGGAGGAACTAGTTACGGGCAACCAATATTTTCCATACTAATGACTTAAGAAATATATGGAATTGTTACAATTATTTTACTATCATAACTCAATTTCATTACAGGTTTACTGCACATGAGAATAAAACAGCAGTGAAACGAGCAAAAACGAAGTTATATATGTCTTACCACAATAATCAAATTCTAATTATTTAATCTCCTATGCTTTCATGACTTTAGAAAGTATGTTACAGAACAGACTTTTACAGGCCATAATCACCTAATTTTGTGAAGTACTTTACAAACCTTTGTCATACGGATGCAACTAAAAATTATAGCAGAAATGAACAATTTAATCAGTTAAAACAGACATGAAAAGTACTTACATTTCATACGACCTAATCTTTCGCCTCAACTTTGTACAGCAGTAATTAAAGTTCCGATAAAAAGAGAAATTTCAAGTATAAATATCTGGAAAACAATGTATATTTTGAAATCAATCGTTATCTCAGTTATTGCAATAAAAAGAATTTTAACACTAAAATCCATAAAAAATATATTTAAAATTCTGTGGACTATTTGAAAGCAAAAAGTTTCGGGAACTATTTAATACGCATGCGTCGTTTGAAAGAAAAGCTTAAATAAGATATTGAGCAACACAGCTGAGAAACAAATATTCTTTTGCAATAGAAAAGCCTGAATATCCCTGGCTACATGAGATTCTAATAATGCAAAAATATAGCTTCCGAAGTCATCAGGACAAATAACGCCGTCTAATTTCTTAGTCGATTCACAAACTACAGTATGTACGATATGAAATGGTAATCGCACATCTTATTTAATGCTGATTTATCGGTCCAAACCTGTCTTCTCGCGCCCTTCGCTCCGGATGCAACAGAAGCAGTTTTTCTTCAAGAGCCTATAAACTTCAGGTTTTCCACAAAAATGGTTACGACATAACAGAAAAAGGTTTCGATACCAAGCTCATGAAATAAAAAATAAAAAATACTTGAATTGTTTCGAGCAAATTGACAATCACAGGCGATACACTACTAGCCAATGAAGTGGGTAATGCGTTTACACGCGATCCAACACCTTTTGAATGGATTTCAGAAGACGAATTTTTTCTACCAATATCTTGCACACTACCATCGTAACCTGAACAAACATAATTTATTAATCAAAGTAGACTGCTGTGAACGCAGTGAGAACTAGTAGAATATCATAAAAAAACAATATTCTCAGTTCCTAGCACTGAAAACTAGAAGCTTCAAAATAAAAGAATAATTATAGTAAAAACCACGTATACATATCTCATAGCTGCGAAATAGTCATTAACTATCTTATCTAATGACATTTTATAGGTTGTTGTGAATAAATATCAAGAATAATGAAAATACAAAACTAAATCTTGAAACCGGAAAACAAAATGAAAGTCATGACTACTTTTCAGTTGCACGAAATTTCCACAATTCTGTTTATCATAAGTTACAGATACTCCATTCCATTTTTTATAACTTTGTTGGTTTAACAGTTTGCCATCTTTGACTATACTATTGAGTTTTAAATCTCGAACTTCATCTTCTAATCTTTGACAGCGAATCTGTAAAAGCTATACATGTAGTGTATGCCACCATGGAATAACTTGATAAGATAATCATAGCAATTTTTGATGATCAAAATTTGTCAACTTTGTCAAAAAGAATGCACAAGTATTTTTTCAGATATTCCTTTGCAAACAGAAAGTCCTACTGCATTTCAATATTGGTTCTTAAAGTTATATATCTTAAGTGTTCAGGGTATATAATAAGACAACTCAATACCAACAACTCTACCTTTAAATCCTCTTTACAGTCAAGTTCAGTGGTAAGCAAAGCCCGTATTTCCAGTTCTTCATTTAACTTCTTCTCAGTATCTTTTAGCGTTTCATACGTTATCCTTTAAAAAAGCAAATAAATTTGAAGAAATAACGAGCTAGCTCCAAAATTTAGTAAAAATTATAAGGAGCGCTAAAATGTATCCAAGCATTCTGAAAAACATGAAGAAATTTCTGCCATTTCAAAACGTAGCCATGATATTGAAGTTGGAAATTTGTAAGAAAATCAAAAACCTTAATTCCCTTTCCAAATCATCATTTTTTTGCTCCAGTTTGTGGACAGTTTTTTGCAAATGCTCACGTTCAACTTTTAATTTCAATAATTCGTTGTTAAGTTTGATATCATTGCTATACTGTTCTGAACGGGATCTCTGAGATTCCTCCTGAAAACAATCACAAGTTGGGAAAACTATGAAAATTACATTACAAATGTTCACTTATTTAGAATCATATTGGAATGAATGTCATTAAGGTAACAAAAGAGAAAACATCTCAATTCCCTCCGTGCTTTAGATGAGTAGTTCAGTGTTATAATTTGTATATTCTAAACTTGATATCAAATTAAGCAAGCTTTATTTTAAAATACTGCTTCATATTTTTTGCTATCCACGGGTAAGACAGACTAAACACTAACCTTATACCTGTCACGCTCTTGTACCAAACTCGCGATCTCCTTTTCACGTTTACTTAACGATAAGTTAGCTACATTCAGTTCTCTATCTAATTCGGCTTCGATTTGGCGACTGAATATTACGAAATCTTTTAATTCAGATTTTGCTTCATCAGCCCTGGAAATGGTCATTACATAAAACACCGACACTGAATACGAGCGCTTTAACATGTACATAAATGTACACGCATTTCTACCTGTTATTACAAATAAATAATTTACTCTTGTTTGCATCGTTCCGCTTCTGTGCGATACTGTTTAGCCAAGTTTTCCCAATCCATAACTAAAATAATTCTTCCTTTTCGTAAAAAACTTTGATGGTTAACAACTTGAATAACGACGATGCCTTTCTCGTATAATACAGCAAAAACATTGTAAACTACATCAAAAATTGCTCAATATACGGCCATCGCTGTATAAATAAGCACATCAACATGGAAGATACGAAACTGAAACTGCGATATTGTCAGTTAGCCCAATTTTCTCCGTATTTGAGTCATGAAATGTACTAATCATATTTTGAAAATCTAAATTACATCTAAGTGAAATAAAAATAAAAGCATGATATGGAATCTTGTCAAGTAAGAACTTGATATTGGTCTAGAAATTTGTGCAAAATAGGATGAGCTGTACATGTTCCCTATAAATATTACTAGCAATGTACTTGAATGTAAGTTGAGTTTTTTACTTAAGTAGAAATCTGTTTCTAGTTATCGAAGCTCAAAGAAAGGTCTATTATCCAATTGGTTTTTTAAGTAATCATAATTCCTATTAAACTGAAGTTTGTGTAGCGACAGAAACAAGAATAAAGCAGAGGATATCCTCATTACATTAAACGTTCCCGTATTATGTCATGCATGACTGGTTTGAAACCTTGAATTTTCATAAAAAGCAAACCGTATCACACTACTGCACTAAACGAAGATCATCCTGATCCTAACGCTTCCTGACTTACTTGTAAGTAAAACGTACCGTAAGTATGTGAAAAATAACTGATACAAACATTATGTAATGTTTCTGTAATGCACAATTTAATCACAAATGTTATGTTTAACCTCGAAAGTAACAGAGTATAAAAGCAACTGCTAAAACAAAATAAAACAAATACTTTTAAACAACTTAGATCGAGTGACACACTACGTGCAGCATACATTACGCTTCCTTAATCAGAGACAAAACATGTGATTACAAAACAACCTCATCTTGTTACCCCTTTGCAGGAGCGCTGAATCACTGAAAAACAAATCAAACCACGGCTTATGTTACTATGACGATCTTTCATTGCGTCTGATATGATGCGAACTGTTATTATTCACTGATCTGTATAGGAAGGATTGTTTTGTATGAGGACTGGTCGTCAACATTCTAACAAATCATATGTTCTGGTTTCAGAGCATGACGCTCTAGGACAATTATGAAAATGTAGTGGGTAGTTTTAGCAAGAAGTCCTCCGAAACATGGATATCAAATAGTCTTTCCTGACCACTTATAACCACTATGATTTTTTTTTATAATCTCAATCTGCCAAGCACGTTCTCCTTAATATATGGACCATCACGTCTCCAACTGACCCTGTAAACTTTGTCCTCGATTGTTTGCGTGTTCAACGTCTGCAAATATATATAT